CTTATTTTAAGGAATACAAACAAGCCAGTGAGAATAAAAAAAAAAAATCATTGGGACCACATACCATCAAGAAAACAGTGCCAGGAGCAGAGCGCGTCCTTTGGACGGGTCCCTGCGCCGAGAAGCTCCTAGTCCGGGGGAACACTGATGAGAAGGCCGACAGAGAGAGAAAGCCTTCCCCTGGAGTTGACGCCCTGAATTTGGACTTTTAGCCTACTTTGACTGTGAGGAAAGAAACTTCTCTTTGTTAAAACAAAACAAAAAAAAAAAAAAAAATCATTTATTTCTTGTTTGTTTTATTAGCAAAGTCTTAAAAGACATCTATAAAAATTTTACAACTTAAGATTGTTTGCTGGTTTTAAATTCTTAGGAGTTTAGAGGGATGCCTATCCTTTTCCAAATTATTCTGAAAGTCCTGACAGGCTTCTTTAGTTATTATCTGTATTCGTTGTACTGTGTTAGGGCAGCTCATATTGCTGCAATGATCTCTTAAAGAATCAAAATATCTTTTTGAGTCCATGAATATTCAAGACAGCACACCAGACACACACACACACTAAGTAAAGGGCTTAAAAATGTTCCTGGTACCTATTAAACCCATTGCCGTTGAGTTGATTCTGACTCATAAACACCCTATAGACAGAGTAGAACTGCCCTATAGGGTATCCAAGGAGCGGCTGGTGGATTCAAACTGCCGACCTTTTGGTTAGCAGCCGTAGCTCTTAATTACTGGCATCTATTAGCACTTGTAAATATCTACTATTCATATTATTATTTTATCCAGTTCATAATTGAAACATCATGGCAAGCCTCGAGCCCCTGCCTCTGGTTAGGACTGCCCATGGCACTCCTGGTTACGATCTCTCCATTCCCAACAGCCCTTAGCTCCTCTTGTCCATGACAATTTCATGGCTTACAGTGTCTAGTACCCTACCAGCATCTAAGTATGCTGTTTGCTATATCACTCTCTCCTAGGAGGCCAGCGACCCCATTACAAAACAAAAGCATCCCGGTAGTGCTCCCAGTGTTATGGATAGAATTGTGTCCCCCAAAAATATATGTTGTAAATTCTAATCCCTATATCGGTGAAAAGAAGCCCTGGTGGCACAATGGTTAAGCGTTCAACTGTTAACTGAAAGGTTGGCAGTTCAAATCCACCCAGTAGCTCTGCAGGAGACAGACCTAGCGATCTGTTCCTGTGAAGATTATAGTCTAGAAAACCCTATGGGGCAGTTCTAGTCTGTCATGTGGGGTTGCTAGGAGTCTAAATCAACACAATAGCACCTAACAACAACAACAACATACCTGGGGATGTAATCCCATTTGGGAATAGAGTTTTTCTTTGTTACGTTAATGAGGTCATATCAGCGTAGGGTGTGTTTTAAGTCAATTACTTCTGAGATATAAAAGGAGTAGATTAGACACAGAGGCAAGGAAGCATAGATGGGGGAATACAGATGCCATGCCGTGTAAAGATCACCAAGAACTGGGGAACAGAAGTTAAAAAGAGACAGGGACCTTCCCTAGAGCTGATAGAGAAAGCCTTCCTCTAGAGTTGGTGCCCTTAATTCGGACTTCTAGCCTCCGAAACTGTGAGAAAATAAATTCCTGTTCATTAAAGCCACCCAATTTGTGGTATCGCTGTTATAGCAGCACTAAGAAACTGAGTCACCCTGTTAGCTGGCTGTCTGATGGCACTCTGATAAGAAGAACCTGGTCATCTAAACTCCAACTCTGTTCAGAGGTTTTGCAACTGATCAAATACACCAGCAGAATTAAGTCACAGTTCAACCAAAACTCAATTTTGAAAAAAATAAGCTTTGGACACTCTGTATAAACTATTCTTTAGGTAAAGGTAGGTACTTCAGGTAAAATAGAAAAACACAACCACAAGATTATAAAAGAACACTAACATTCATAACAGCTGTAGATTCTATAAATACTTATTACCAAAAAACAAACAAACCCGTTGCTGTCAAGTTGATTCTGACTCATAGTGACCCTATAGGACACAGCAGAACTGCCCCATAGGGTTTCCAAGGAGCGGCTGGTGGATTCAAACTGCTGACCTTTTGGTTAGCAGCCAAGCTCTTAGCCACTGAGCCATATTAGTAATACAAAATTCCACCACCCAGCTGCCAGTTTGTCATCCTGTGATGGCTTGCATGTTACTGTGATGCTGGAAGCTATGCCACCAGTATTTCAAATACCGGCAGGGTCACCCATGATGGACAGGTTTCAGTGGAGCTTCTGGAGTAAGACAGATGAGGAAGAAAGGCCTGGTGATGTACTTCTGAAAATCCAGTGAAAACCCTAGTATCAGATAGAACAGAATATTGTTCAACTGGACCACATATGCCAACAATTGTGAAGATGGCACATGACCAGGCGATGTTTTGTTCTGTTAAACATAGGGTCTCCATGAGTCAGAGCTGACTTAATGGCAGCTAACAACAACAAATACAAAATTAAATCCGATGTGTCCATATACTAACCGCTGTTAAAATCAAGTATCAAAATTTTGCGAAAAGCTGGAGCACTATGCAACGAGAAAGAACAACAATGAATCTGTGAACCATCTCATAACATGGATGAAACTGGAGGACATTATTCTGAGTGAAATAAGTCA